TAAACAGCTCTGTGGGCTTGAACTGAAAAAGTGATGAGTGCTAAGCAGTGGATTGAGGGTCCGGGAAAGAGAGATCCTGCTGAAAAGTGGAAGGGTGTGAAAGGATGGCTTTTTTGAAGAGGTGGCATTACAGCCAGGTATGAATGGAAAAGAGATGCTATCAGTAAGAAAAAAAAAGAAGGCGATTGCATGTCAAGGAAGAGCAAGGGAGGCATTTAGAGGGACCACGCAATGAGCATATGGCATGTAGGAGAGTTAAAAGCAAAAACCCTAGAAACAAAAAGCACAAATGAAGCTGAATTGGTACCCCCTCTTTCCTGTTCTTCTTCTTAGTCTCCCTCCATCACTTTCTTTGACCCTTCTATGACAAGTATGTGCCAGGTACTGAGGATGTGTGCTGACCCAGATGCAAAGCCCTCTGCACCAAGCCTACAGTGCAGCTCTCCTTCCTGGGAACACAGATGGCAGCATGGAGCAGGGAGCTGGCAGTGCCACGCAGCTGCCAGCCCAGCTAGACAGCTCTGCCAGTGGCCTCACAGGCTCACTTGGAGCTTTCATCCCCAGACTGTCATGGTGCGGCAATGATGGGGACCTATGCAGTTGTTATCGTAGCCTAGCAGGATTCTTGTACAGTCCAGTTGAAGAGCATGAACCTCAGATCCATTCTGCTCGGGCTCACAGTACTGGACAAATTGTTTAGCCTCTCTCTGCTTTGGTTTACTTACCTCTAAAATGGGGATAAAAGTTTCCCAGTAGACTTATTGTGGAGATTAAAAGAGTTAGTACATGTAACTTCTTAGAAAAGAATGCCCAGCATGTATTGGATATAGACATACATATGTAATAGCACATATATATGTATATATATATTAAATTACTATTAAATTTAAATACTATCATTAAATTACCTGGAAAGAAGTGTATTAAGTGAGGGTGAGTTTGCAAAAGAGGAGCTCGCTGGTCCCACTTTGGCTCAGAATGATAGGCGCAATAGTTTGTTGTAGCAAAGTATACAACTTTTCAGGAATATGAGAGGCACATACATTCAAAGATTATGGAAATGAAGTAATAGTAATTATTTAGAATCAGTCTGATTATTATTATATTTCTTTCTTATCCAAACTTGGCAAGAAAGTTAAATGAAAAAATACATACACACAAAACACATGTAAACACTCTGAGGTGTCTCACTAGAGGAAAAGAGTGTGTTGTTTAGCCATTGAAATTTTTTTTTCTTAAATTCTTTTATTGGTACATTTTAGGTATACAACACAATTACATTTCTCATTGGGAATTGTACCTTTACATGATGCATCTTGGTTATTTTTCCCCCATTCCTGGCCCTCCTTTCACCCCCTCCACCCTTCCCTATTTACAAAGACTTTATTTCCATTTCTCAGCATTTTTCCTTTCCCTTCTTTCCTTTCCCCTGCCCCTCCCACTTCCCCTTACCCCTTTGGACCTTTTCTTCCTATTTTGCATTATCGATTATTCATTCTAATCATTGGTACATTTTAGGTATACAATATAATGATATTCACCATTGGAAATTTGCACCTTTACATAATCTCTCTTGGTTCTTATTTTTCACCCTGCCCAGCCCTCCCTCCAACCCCTCCATTCCTCCCTATTTACAAAGATTTTGTTCCTATTTTTCTATTTTCTCATATTAATTCCATTCCCTTCTTTCCTTTCCCCTACCCCTCCCACTTCCTTCCCCTTTGCCCCTGCCATTGAAATTTTTTGATGAAAATATCTTACAAACTTAAATCTAGTCCTTGGATACCTGAGAGAGAAGTCCCAAGAGATTCATTTGCTTCCATTGTCCAAGCTAATGTTCCATTAACACAGCTTCTGGAGGCCAAACCCCTAGATAATTTCTCCCTTCAGAGAGCCAGGATGCTGGCTGAGCTTCCTACCAGCTGGTAGAAGGCAGAGTTATGTTTCCTGGGGGAAGAATACGAGCAATCCCTCTTTTTGTACATAATGGTAGAAATAAAAAAGAGTGGTTTATAGTGGGCAAAAACATTACCAAGATATCAATGTCCAAAGGGAAATTCTTACATTCATAATTGAATTCAGTAATTTTGGTTTCAGTAATGTTTGTCCTCACTAGCTATTCAGTAAAATGAAGTTAATTTTAAAGTTCATCAGTATATGAAGAGCATCTATTTACTTTTAACGGATTTGGATATTTGCATTATTATTATTATTATTTGCATTATGGAGTGATTTCCATTATTATCAGAGTGATATATAACCAAAAGCCTTCAAGGGATTCATTATAGATTATGTACAGTTTAGTCATCTTTAAAAATAAGCTGTAAACAGGCCAGGGATTTAGCTCACTGCCTGCTGTGAGCAAGAGCAAGGACCTGAGTTCGATCCAGGTACCAAAAAAAAAAAAGCTGTAAACATCCCAAATTACTTCTAATATCCATAACAAAAGATAATTTCAATGGTAATTGTAAATAATTAAACTTCCCTTTACACTGTAATTAAGAGTTGTTCTCTTTTCCCAGCTTCCTCATATGATTTTAAACACATTGATCTCAAACTGCCAAGCATTTGAATTTTAAAGTATTTTAATTTGGTGTCTCCAAGACAAGTGTGATACTTCCCAGCTCCTTATTCCTGGTAACGGTTCCCTCACTCATTCGCCTCCCCTGTCAAGGAGAGCTCCACTTTCTGGGTTAGAAGGATGCTGAAGGAAATTGAGGTGGCCGACACCTGCAACTCCGAATGGCCACCCCATTTCCTGTGTCCTAGGAAACTCCAAAGCCACATCCATCTATCACCATGGTCCTTGCAAACCCGAGCATCCAGTAGGACTAAACAACGCTGTGCCCATAGCTGTCATGCAGGTAGTCTTGGAGCAGGTCATTTGTGAGTCTAATGGAAGCTAAGTATAACGAATTGTATGAACTTAGCTGTTCAAATTTAACTACACCAAAGTTACATAATGAACCTGGGTCATCATAAGGATTATTGGCTTTCCTTTACTTTCCTCCTAATGTAGATCTCAGTGAGGACCATCCTTGATGAATCCTCCTCACTCACCTTTGACTGTTTACTTAAGACTCCCAGGAGTCAGGCATATGTATTTGAGCATGTGGACCTTCATGTGGAAATCACACACACACACACACATACACACACACACACACACACGCAAAACCTTCCTCTCATAGATTTAAAATTATGTGATGTTGTCATCTCTCTGATGTGATTAATAAATTGATAAAGCACATAAATTAATACATTGATAATAATGCACATAAATGTGGTAGAATTCATCTAGAATGGATGCAGCTATAGGTAGTTTTTTTTTTTTTTTACATTGCTTACCATGTTGTACTCAAGGCAAATTTTAATGAGCATCAAACTAAACCTGACCAAGGGTCATTGACACCTCATGTTTGCTTGGTAACCCACAAATTGAAAATGCTTTACAATTCAAATGCCTGACAATTTGGAATTAATTTATTAGAAAATATGTTAGGAAACTAAGGAGAGAAAAACCTTTAAAATATTTTGAAATACATTGATCCACTTATAATGGTAAAATCATGTCAACTAGTTTATTTGGAATTGTGAAAGCAGGAACTATTTTTTAATAAATGAATTTTCACACTAAAATGAACAGTAATGTATTTCATAGTAAACAACTGTTACTGTTTCTTTCTGTTCCTAAAAGTAAAAAGTTAAATGACTTTAGAATATCAAATATTTCAAATGTATGTTAGCATTTAATCTGTAGCAAATGTAGAATTTGATAATATATGTGAGTATGCAAGAAAAATCCAGATTATCAAATCTAGATTTAAAATGTTATGAGCAGTGTATGTACTTATGAGGTGTGTGTATGTGAGAGAGAGAGAGAAGAGAGAAAGGGAGAGAGAGAGAGATACAATGAAGGGATGGAAATTCTACCTGAGGATAGATATACTTCTTGGGGATGTACATATTCAGACTTGAGGTAAGTAAGACTTCGAGGAAATTTCATATTCATCCATTAGACACTGAGTGGTTAAGCTCATTTTAAAAAGGACATTTTAAACTGTTTAGGAATTCTTTTGATGATGATATGTTGCAGCTAGAAATCTTTCCCACAAAATGGGATTGTGCGAGACATTTTTCTTTTCATTCATTACTGGCAAACTATAACAATTCTAGTTTTGTTCTGTTTTAAGCAGGAGAAAGTAGACATGACTAATTAATACTCTCAATTTGATAGTACCTTGAAGGACTTTTGATCATTTGTACTATAAATCCTATCAAATGTTAGGATACCAAATTATTTTCTCCATCGAATAGTGTGTGCCAATATAGTTCATGAGTTTCTAAGATAATCCATTTGTGTACAAATTCTAAATCTTAACAAAAATACTTCACAGATTACCCATTAGATAACAAAATGCTAGTAATATCTGAGCATATGAAATGTACCAATAACAGATAATGTACAATACTTTCCTTATGATTATTCTAGTATTTGTTACCTTCAATGATTTTTTCACTGGTATTCATATATAGCTTACTTATTTTGTTTTGTGGTTCCACATTTTTCTACTCAAACAAGAGACAACTTTTCCCCTTTTTTAGGGGCCAAATGGATTAAGAACAAAAGCAATGCCCTGGAGAGGAGTCCTTACTGTGTATTGTCAGAGTGTATTTAATTTCATGCATGCGAGAAAGATAATGTGATTCTCCAGCATTAAATATTCCTCAGCCATTCACACTCAGTATTATCTGGAGTAAAACTAGATTAAACTTGCAGGATGGTGAATTACTGCAAATATTGAAGTTAAGGGAATTCATTAATCTTTATCTGCTTGTCTATTTTCTATAGCTTGCATGAAGTAGAAATAATCATTTGGGGGCAGATCAGATTCCAAGGGGTCTGGCATCATGGAAGAATTATGGGCCTGAAAATGCTTTTCTTTCTTTTTAAATTATACACAGCACCTTTTCCTTACATGCCTCTGTTTTTCTTTTAGTGGCAAAGCATTTCTATAACACTGGTTGAGAAAGTTCAGATGATTGCTGTAATCCTAGGATCCCTGTTCTTAATAGCCAGTGTGACTTGGCTCCTCTGGTCAGCCTTCAGTCCCTATGCAGTGTGGCAGAGGAAGGACATCCTTTTTCAAATCTGCTATGGAATGTATGGTTTTATGGATCTAGTGTGCATAGGTAAGACCATGATGTTAAACATTTATGAAATGTCAGTAATCCATTTTTTTCAGCGATTGCCTTCTCACCAGGTGGATCTAACATACATACAATGTGGTTCACATTATTTGGTTTGACAAAGAATTAATTATCTGGAGCTAGAGGAATGCTTTTCTTTAAAAAATAGCTTTTCTATTCCAATGTTGTCTGATAAAGTAATAGGATAAAGCCCGTTCAAAGTCCTATCTTTTGCAACTAAAAGAAAGGAGGGGTTGAAGAAACGATTTGAGGTGAGTGATATAAGTAAGCCCACTCATTTCTAATGAATAAGAGCAAATAAGTGTCCCTTTACAGAGTTAGGGAAGCATAGATCAATGCAAATGGCAATATCATGCATTCAGCAAGAAGACCGTCACCCAAAAGACTCATCATGATTGTGGCTCACATTCTCTGGAGACATGGATGGCTCCTTGGAAGATTAGGGACTTAGGGATAATTTTTCTTGTCGACTTGTATCTCTTTATTTCACCTAACAAAGTCAGTGGCTTAGAAACGAAAGCATATCAAACATTTTAGCTAAAGTAGGTTACTACGAAATAGCTACACAAAGGTCATTCTGCGATTCACTTGGCCAGTCTGCCATTTCCCTAATACCATGGAGAAAACGGAAGCCAATTCATGCAGCATTTATGTGCTATGTGTGCCACAGGCAGCCCCTGTGACGGTGACCATTTCTAGGGTCAAAGGCTGGGGAGAGCTGGATTTGGGCGCCAGGGTATTAGGAGAATTTCTCTGTTCTGGTATGGTTCACAGACTTGTGAGTCACCCCAAAGAGCCATGATTTAAAGCAATGGTTCTCAGAGTGGGGTGCCTGGGCCGCTGACAGAGTCAGCATCTCTGTCACCTCATCATTCTCAGCCCCATCCCAGAGTCACTGAGTCAGCAATGTCAGGGGTGGGACTTGGCCACCTGTATTCACACTGCTCCGAAGTTCTGATGCCCTGGGAGCTTGGGAACGTCAGAGCCCAGGGAATGGATGGCCAGTGTGGGATTGAGTGGCTGGGATTCCAACCCTGGCCTCTGCTTGGATAGATCACCTTCATCTTGCCACACTCCTATCCGCTTGCCATAAAAACAGGAATAATAATCCCTAATGTGCAGTCTAAATGAAGGAAACAATACTAATTCGAAATGGTAGATTGAATATATTTCAACAAGTCAGAAACATTGACAGAACTTTGTATCACTTAATGTGTGTACTTATTAGAGCTTTAATTTAACTAGAAATTTCAACTAGCTTTTTTCAAAAGAACATCTATAAATGTTTAAAATATGATCAACTTGACTTTTCCTTTTTAAAATATTTCCTCCCTGACACTAACACAAGACTAATTGGAAAGAAAATAATCATATTTCAGGCCAGAAAGAAAAAAATAAAGAAGGGTGGGAAACATCGTGAATAATATGTAAACTGAGCAGATGTTTCCTGAATAATTGTGCTAATCATCTATTTGAGCACTTTGCATTAAATGTGATAATGCATATGCAAATATTTGGACATTCTAAAACTCTATGAAATTTAATCTTTAGAGAATTTCTCTAAGGAAGAATCACAAAATCGTTCTACAAATTGAATCCTTCAACAAGTTCAAAGATTGTGTTCATTCGTCAATTTAAATATTACGTTGCATTTTATTGATTTCAAATTGGGAGCATTTCAAAAAGCTAGAAGAAAGAATCTTGAAGGTTTTCACCATAAATAAATGATAAACATTGGAGAAGATAGATATACTTAAACATTATACAATGCATACTTGTATGGGAACTACATTAATATGTATAATTTTTATGTACGAGTTTAAAAATAATTTTTCAAAAAAAATTTAGAGAAACGCCAAAAAGAAAAAGAATTAGGCTCCCAGTTCAACCAGAAGGAGAAACAAAATGCAGTTGATTTTCTTGACATCATTGTAAGATTAAAAGGACTATATATTTTCTGGTTAGAAAATAATTTTCTTGAATTTCAAAACTTGCATTCAGTGCTGTTATTATATCCTAAATTTTGATTATTATGTCAGCAATTTAATGAAGATTTTTAAAATCTGCTTTCAAAAGCCTAGACATAAGAACTAATGGTCATTTAGTACTATATGACCTATTTCGACTTCTCAAAATTTGAGCATTTGCCCATCTTATAAAGTCAGACTTTTTAGAAACAAAGATGGTTGTCATATTTCTGGAGGTATTTTGGAAAGTGAATTGTTATCTGCATTTTGTTTGTTTGTTTGTTTGTTTTTGGTACTGAGGATCGAACTCGGGACCTTGCCTTTTCAAGGCAGGTGCTGGAACCACTGAGCTAAATCCCCAGCCCTGTTATCTGCATTTTTAAATATTGGCAGTACTGTGCATTGTCTTTGGTTGATCAAGTCCAAATCTCATCCTTCAGTGATCTATTTATATATTTTGAAAAATGGTTAAAAATTCAGATCGAACATTATTTTACTTAGAAATCTAAATCATTTTTCTGTTTGGCCCAATGAATATCTTGATTTTTTCCTCAAGAAATTAGGAAGCTGCTATACTAACGAAAACAGTAGCCATTTGGATTATAGCCAGAGTTAACCTCTGGTAACATTTAAATTAATTACAATATCTGCTAGTCAAATGAAGACAGTAACAAAAATTACATTGATTGTACCTTAATGCTAATACTGCCTGGAAGAGTTAGAGTCCTAGGCAGAATGAAAAGCAACTTTACCACTTTGAGTCCAATTTGCTGAGGTCAGTTTAATAAATGTTTGTTGGGAACGTTCTATATGTTTGGCACAGTGCTACATGCTAGGAATACAAATGAGTCAGGAATTTTCCTGCCCCAAAGGAGTTCCTGATCTGACGAGGATGTACAAGGTTTTTTGAACCAAACTGGAGTCATTGTGTCAGACTTTAACCAAAAATAAGTGACATTGGAAGACTGCGGAAGGGACCTTGTCCTTATGCCAGATGACAAGATACGTTACAGAAGACCGCTAGGACCACAGCCTTGCATGAAGACATCCCAGCTTCACACAGAAAGCACTTCTACAAGGACTTCTATCCCCAAACTGGACTAGCATCAGCCTTGTTATTGATCCTTGAGCATGCTTGATTTTATTCCTTGTGGCCAAGGATTATTGTTTTAAAATATTTTGATTAATGCCCTCATTTGCCTTTAAAAATGCCTCCTTCCCTCCACCTCTTTGAATGCACACATAGTTTACTCCGCACATACATTCCCTTCCAATGCCACTCGAATAAATTTAATTAATCTTTAGAGAAGCCCTCTTGCTGTTTGTTAGTTTGACATGAAAGATGGTCATGTGAGTAAGTAAGTAGAATATAAAGGGATGTGCAGTTATGAAAGAATACACAGGAATTGGGAGTTGGATATATAGGGAGAAATTAATCCGGAAGTGTCACTTGGAGAAGTTTTCTAGCAGATTTCATGAGGAAGTGGTAGCTAAGATGGCTGACAGATGAATCAGTACTTGACAAAAGGAAAAATGGACCTCTCTTCACCCCTGGAGCATGAGAGACTGGCTCCCCTTTCAGGGGGCTTTGAAATAGTTGGAAATATTCCTATGAGTTTTTTAAAACTTGGTTTTACCTAGATGAGAAAAACACAGTGACAACTTGGAATTTCCCTTGAAAATCCATGACCATTCCAGAATTCAAAAATGTTATAATCCCACCAGTGCATTTAACAGACAGAGAGAGAAATTGGATTGTTAAATAGAATTTTAGAGAGTTGTAGAACACTGATTTCCTTGGGGAAGTTCGTTTACTTATTTCCACACACAGTGAATTGGTTTGTTGTTTTCACACGCTGTTAATTAGTGATTTTTCTTCTTTTCTTTTATTTTTTTTCTGGCTACTAATGTTTTAAATTCTAACAAGAGGCTAGGTTCTATTATTGTTGAAACCTGAAGATCAGGTTCAGTAGAACTTTCTGTAGTGATGAAATTGTTCAGTACCTATCCAACACCATAGACACTAGCTAAGTTTGGCTGATGAGCATTTGAAATATGGCTGGTGAGAGTTAAAAAACTGAAATTTAATTTTAATTTTATTTAAATTAATTTAAATTTAACTTAGATTGTTACATGTGGCTTGTGGCTGCTGTACTGGACAACACAGGTGTCAGATGACAGAATGGTAGGTGTGTAACGATTCAATTAACAGGTTCACCTTGTCTGTCTGTATCAGTTGTAGTTCTTAAATGACAAGAGAACTCTGTTCTGAGAGAGATAAATAGTGTGACTATGAATTCAAGAAGATTGAGGGGAGAGGGAGCGGGTAGCTGCCAGGAGGCAGACAGAGAGCCACAAGGGGGAGACATGTGTGACAGGTGACTCTTTTCTGTCACTGAACTTTTTAAGAAGACTTCTGTGGGTTAACTGTGTATTTAATTTTCAATCTACATTTATAATACAGTTCATATCCATTTTAAGGATATTGAAATATGAAGATAGCTATTTGGCAAGCTCTTTTTTATATTTAAGTGGGTGACATTCAGACTGATTTGCTCCCAGGAAAACTCATATAAACCAATATAAAGGATTTAAATGTGTGAGATGTTGTAGCCAGTGGGGGTAATTTAGGGAGAAGTCGAGGAGGCTTGTGTTGGCTCCTCCCACAGAGAATTTTCACTGTGGACAGGGGAAGATTAGCAACTCCAGAAAGGAAAAGCAAGACCATGGGAGGAGGCAGGCTTGGGCAGAAGAATCTAGTGCTGCAGGGAACATATTTATTCATGACTGAAGTTTGAGGACCTCAGAAAGGCCATGGGAGGACAGGGACTGACTTGGTTCACTTGCATCTAAACACTGAGTGCAGTTTCTAAGGCATTTCAGTGTCAGATACTATGACTGGTGAAGAGTTGTGTCATAGAAGCAACAAACTAGAACCTTTTATGTTAGTGTGACTCCTGAGCTAGCGATCACAGTTCACATACCCAGTCTCACTAACATTGTGAGTTAGTGGCA